ACCAGTGTTTCGTAAAGGGCTTGAAACCAGCTTTCTCATCCCATGGTGAAAAACTAGGGGTTCCATTTAAAAAAACCATCGTGACCCCTGAATGACCTTCAAAATGACCTTCCAAGGATTTTTCAAGGTCAGTACCATACTTTCCCCGTGTAACCCTAAACTTTTCATACGAAACATTTTTCTCTATCCCTACTAGTTTTCGAGATATTTGACTGGATCACTTCAGATGGTCCACCCTGTATATTACGTCAAATAATTAGTAAAGATTTTAACCGTATAGCTTCCCTGTATCTGACCCGAGAATTGATGTATTTTACTTGTCATGATAATATATATTGTTAGATAATCATTTAAACTATGAACTGGCACCTTCACTAATGTATTGGTTACTTGTCATGGTAATATATCATCATATAATTATTGATTTTTAAAGTTTTAAATTTTTGGGGATACACTTTATATTCACTATGAACTGATACCTTCGATAATATAGCAATTTCTTTTTCTTAATTTATTTTTTTTAAGAATTTTGGCTTTACATAATATTTGCTCGTTTCAGACAATAAGACAACGTTTTTTGAACAATACATCACTCGCTGAAAATATGAAATAAATTAAAAATCGGAAGTTCATACAAAAATTCAAAATTATACTAAAGAAAGATTGAAGGCTTTCCATCTGAACCATTTTCATAATTTTTATATTTCAATATTCTATTCATCGCAAGTTTTTTGAAAGCCGGCCACCATGTTCTTTTTCCGAGCCATTAACAAATTGGTACTTTGGAATTACAAGCAATTATTTTTCATTGTACGTACTAGTATAAATTTTAAGTAAAATCTCAATAAACGACTTTTATATTTTGTGCACTAAGAATAACATATCGCACTTATTTTTTATAATCAAATTGTAATCTGTTTTACTTGTATGTATGTGTGTATGTTCGTTTTGAACTCGCACTTTCAATAACATATGAGTTACTTTTCATGAGAATGAACTGGCATCTTCAATAATATCAGTTACTTGTCATGGTAATACGTATCGTTAGATAATCATTTACATATTTAAAGGTTGAAATTTTTGAAGATACACTTGATGTATGTTAACTTTGAACTGGCAGCTTTAATAATATATCAGTTACTTGTCATGGCAATATATCTTCAGATAATGATTTAAATTTTTAAAGGTTTACACTTTTCAGGATACACTTTATATGTATGTTTACTTTGAACTGGCATTTTGATAATATCAAATACTTTTTATGGTAATATATTATCAGATAATCATTTAATTTTTACTGCTTTACATTTTTGAGAATACGCTTTATATATGGTATGTTCACCTTGGACTGGGACTTTGAATAATATATCAGTTACTTTTCATGGTAATATATATTGTTACATAATTTCAATTTTTATATGTATATTGTTACATAATATATTATCAGATAAAAGTGTAAATTTTTAAAGCTTTACATTTTTGAGAATACGCTTTATGTATGTTCACCTTGAACTGGGACTTTGAATGATATATCAGTTACTTTTCATGGTAATATATATCGTTACATAATAATTTCAATTTTTAAAAGTTTACGTTTTTTAAGGTCTGTTTACATTTTTGAACATGGCCTGATCTTTTCATTGTAATGATATTTTTGGGCTATATCACATACTTTTCAGAGTATATATATATGGGGCAGTTTTCTAATAATGCAAGTATCACAAATGTATATATTTTCGATTCTTGTCACGTACCTTCTACAAGCTACAAATCATGCAATACAGTTAGAAAAAATTGAAACATATGGTACATATAAACCAATATTAGTTATTACATTGAAAATGATCCGATCGGTATCGAAACGTCTGTACGAATATTAAACATAATAAAATTTTAATTGGCTCAAAGCCCTTCGTGAAATTAATTAACCAACTAATTACTATTTCATTTTGGACTTTTTAGCCTAAGAAGAGATGGACGAGGAAGAACCGAAGAATGTAAAATAACCATTTATAAAAATTATATGTAATTTATACATATAATTTTTATAAATGGCTATAAAAAGTTGATATAATAAACACATATTTATATGTGCCTTTGCTTACTTCCATAATTACCTATGGTAAAATTAAAAATATTAATTATAACATAGGTTATTCGACAAAATCTGAGGTGAATCGTGAAACCAATGTCGCATCTATTTCTATAAACAAGATATTTACTAAAGAAATGATATCGAATGAACATGAAATTATACAAAACATAAATATTAGCATTTCAGATACAGAACAATCTCTATATAAACGAAGAATATCTGAAATGATACATATAAAAAGTCAAACGGGAAGTATAAATAAGCAAAGTGATACTGAAGGATTGCCTGATGTTTATCTTCCTCTTTTAAGTAGTTGATCTCTCTCTTTCTCTCTTAAGAATTATTCTAGAACGTTCTCAGTTTCGCACATATATATATGGTTCCGACACACAACAAATTAACGACAAACAAATTTACACGTTATCACGGTGACATTCCATCATGTTATGTTAAAATTTCCTACGATGATGTACAAAGTTTAACGAATTGCCGTAAAAACGGGTATTGAATTGTAATTCTTTAATAATTGAATTAGATGATATTAATTTTAACATATTGATTTTATATCAGAATTTGGAAATTCTTGTTCTACGCATTTCGAAACAATTCTAACTGGCTCATCGATTACGGGTTATGACGCTCACGAATAAGGGGATAATTGCGTGTTTTTTTATTAAATATATGATTGCGATTTTATTATTATAATTTATGTGCCCAATACGCGATTAATGTTATAATTACTAAAGATGGCCAGATGTTGGCCGAAACGTCTAATTTAAATTTGAATAATTTTAATAAATTAAATATCACAAAAAAAACAACCTGTACTGTGGTTTGATGTTCCTTGCACTTCAAATTTATTATTATAAACCACTTCCTTTTTAATTATATTGAAAATAGTTATTCTTCAGAAGAATGTAAATTTTTCGAATAGTAAATAATAAAATATTAGAATTCATTAGTTAAGAATTAAACATTTTATTTTATATGAAATTTATTTAAAATATGTCAGAGTTATTGTTACAACAGAAATGATTTATAATTTATAACGCCCTTCTATTTTAGCTATTTGAAAAATTGCACAAAGAGCGACCTTCCAATTTTAAGAAACTAATTGCAATTTCTGGTGATGTCAATGAGAAGGGATTAGGTATGTCGGCTACGGACAAGCAAATGCTGGTTGAAAGAGTGACCATAATAATTCATGCAGCCGCGAGTGTGAGATTCAATGATAGTTTGAAGTATGCCATATTTGTTAATACAAGAACAACAAGAGACATTTGTATTTTAGCAAAAAGTATGAAGAATTTAATCGTAAGTCAGAGAGTAACTAAGATTATGCATTTAAATAACTCATCTCATGATACACAATTTATGTAAGAACTTTTATTTTTATTTAAATGTTCTTCAAAAACACGAACCATTGTGTACTTTCCAAACTTAACAAGAAATGTGTGTTCCATTTCAAAGCAAAAATATATAAATTTATAAATTCATAAATTGTTTTATTATTACATCTGAGTAATTATGTAATGTTTGAGTATAATTCTTTTATTGGTTTAAACGTTACTTAATTCTTTTGTTTGTCCTAATTGTAACTATAGTTATTTTTACAAAGTATAACTTTCTCAACCTGAGCCTATATTTTGTACACGTCTGCCGACAGTTGTCGGAGTCGATAACTAACTATAACCAACGACAAAGGCTATCCTACAAAAAAACGCTGTTCTTATAGGCTGTCGCAGCTTAATTATACAACCGTCGATAGACGTATACTGAATATGAGTCCTAATTGTATATATACAATCATATATATACAGACCGAATATCATAATAACATTTAAAATATAATAAATTTGAAAAAATATTTATCCTAATTTGTATGGTGTTTTAAAATTGATAACATAAAATTCATTCTCTCTAATATAAAAACTAAAAAAAGAATTTTTAAAGCATAATTTTTTAATTAACTGTTTTTATACGTTAAAGGCATTAGTATACGTTAGTACAGCATTTGCACATGTGAATGAACCATTTCTAGATGAAAAAGTGTACCTGCCAATAGCTGATTGGCAAAACATAATTGAAATAGTTGAGACATTGGATGAGCATGTTTTAAACGTTTTTACGGCTAAGTAAGTTACAAACAAAGATCGATTATGCGTTTATAAATTATTTACTGATGTACTAGAATCTTTCGCTTTACTTATAAGATTTTAATCATATTCAAATTTTTGAATCTATATGCACTTAAAATTATGTACAGGTGTTTAGACTATGCACCAAATACGTATACTTTTTCAAAAAATCTATCGGAGAAGGTAATACAAGATTATACTTCCTCCTTGCCTTGTGCGATTATAAGACCTTCCATTGGTATGTAGTCTTTCTTCTAGTATTAAAAATAATTTCTAGTCTTAATGCGTTACTGTGGAGTGCTAAATGTTTGTATTTCCACTGTTTGCATAAAATGATTGCGCTGACAGAGCGCGTAATTTCTTTTTGGAAATAATAATTATTCCACTAAAAGTTATATAGAATAGGAAAGAAGATATACACTGAGGCTGGAGTCCCACGAGGTATATTTATCGCGTATCGCGTAACTGTGTAACCAATCAGAAGCGATCCGCTGTTTCGCGTTTTACTGATTATTGATTGGTTACGCGGTTACGCGATACGGGATAAATACACCTCATGGGACTCCAGCCTGAGCAACAAAATTAACGCAACACCTATTTCACTCTGCAAATATAGGCAAACTTTAAGATAGAATAACTTCGTCAAAAATCATCGCATCGAGATGTTTAAAAAAGCATTTTACAGCTTGAAACCTCTACTTTTCAGATCGCTATTTTAAAAAACCGGTTTCGTGGAGATTTTATGAAGTTACACAAACATAAATAGAGATATATCAAATCTCAACATTTTTTATGAAATTTGCAGAGTTCCACGGAGTAGATTAAAAATTGTACATAAATGCGAATTACATCATTCGAAAGAGTGAATCTTTACCTTTAATTTGTTTTTTTACAAAGGTCCGTACGACTTTTTTTCATCGAGTTACTCAACGTTGAAGCAAAAATGGCTCTTTTGCTTCAACGTTGAATAACTCGGCGAAAAAAAGTCATATGGAGATACTTCTTTGATACAAATCTATCTATTTTCTAGGTTCAATCCGCCAATTTGGATCCACCATTTTACATTTTAGAAAACGTTTATAACTCGATGAAAAAAAATTGCACAGTAAAAAAAATTCGTTTTGAAGGTGAAGATTCGTTCTTTAGAATGGTGTTAATGAAATGGAAAAACTAAATAAACTATAGAAATCAAACCCTTAAACAGTCTAGCTGGATCTTAATGCTTGTATGATTTTTAAGCTGGCTGCACACGATGCATGATTTCCTGCATAATGGGCTTACGTGCTGCTGTGCCTGCTCTGATGCGTGCTAAGCACCTTGATGCATTGAGCGAAGTATACTACCATCCTTAATTTCTGTGTTTGATATGATGCATGCTCGTTTTCTTGCACACGCCAATTAAAACGTTAAGAATCACTCATGTGATTGATAGGTATTATGTGAGATGTATAGGTTAGAGCCACCACTGTTGCCACTTTTGTGTGATGACGTTTATGCAGCAAGCCGAACAAAGTAAAGTGGGGAGCACAGACTCTTGCATAACGCATAACACATGAGGCATAAGAAATTGAACCAACCAGAGTTCTCTATTACATGGAAGGGAAAGAAACGGAGAACTTCGATTGGTACATATTCTTATGCATTACGTGTTATGCGTTATGCAAGAGTTTGTGCTCCCCGCTTAACATGCATTGATCAGCATGCAAAAGAGTAAGCATGAACATCATGCATCGTGTGCGGCCAGCTTAAGTGAATTTATATACTGTGCTGCTGTGCCTGCTCTGATGCGTGCTAAGCACCTTGATGCATTGAGCGAAGTATACTACCAATTTCTGTGTTTGATATGATGCATGCTCGTTTTCTTGCACACGCCAATTAAAACATTAAGAATCACTCATGTGATTGATAGGTATTATGTGAGATGTATAGGTTAGAGCCACCACGGTTGCCACTTTTGTGTGATAACGTTTATGCAGCAAGTCGAACAAAGTAACATGCATTGATCAGCATGCAAAAGAGTAAGCATGAAAATCATGCATCGTGTGCGGCCAGCTTAAGTGAATTTATATATCACGTATGTAGTTCCTAGAAACGCGCGCCGAAATGATTTTTCAATCTTGAAACGCTAACTCTACTAAACTACCGTAAAATCACGAGTTAAATTAACTAGCAATTTAACAAATTTTTGATGCTGATTTGCATCTTCGAAACGATCTTAATAATGTTGAATGACATATTAAAATCTGTAAATAATTAATTTTTATTGCGAAAAATATTACCTCGCACGGAATGCAAGAGATATGGGTTTGACTTCCAGCCGAGGTAATATTTTTCGCAATAAAAATTAATTATTTACAAATTTTAATATGTCATTCAACATTATTAAGATCGTTTCGAAGATGCAAATCAGCATCAAAAATTTGTTAAATTGCTAGTCAATTTAACTCGTGATATTACTGCGGTAATTTAGTAGAGTTAGCGCTTCAAGACTTTTTATTGCGAAAAATATTACCTCGCACGGAATGCAAGAGATATGGGTTTGACTTCCAGCCGAGGTAATATTTTTCACAATAAAAATTAATTGTTTACAAATTTTAATATGTCATTCAACATTATTAAGATCGTTTTGAAGATGCAAATAAGCACAAAAAATCTGTTAAATTGCTAGTCAATTTAACTCGTGATATTACTGCGGTAATTTAGTAGAGTTAGCACTTCAAGATCAAAAAATTATTTCGGCGCGCGTTTCTAGGGACTGCATACGTAGTATGTAACTTCACATAAGAATCGTACAAGCATTAAGATCCAGTTAGACTATTTAAGGCTTTGATTTTTCTAGTTTGTGTTATCACACACACACACGCACGTACGTACGCACGCACCCATATACGGTCCTATAATATATTATATTGAAGAATAAAATTTTGTTTGACACAAAAAATGGTAAATTGGCAAAAAACGCTGTTTTTGGCTCACATTATTCGATTTATCTAAAAAATCTGACGTGATGGATATCTTTCGCTAGCGGATTTGAATTTAGCGACCTTAAATCTATTAAGAAATGCTGGCCCTACTTGCTGATGACATCAACTTGTTTGATGGGTGATGATGTATTAATAATGATTTAACAATTGTGTCTCATCCTAGTAATGTCAACGTTACAAGAACCTATTCCAGGATGGTTAGACAACGTTTATGGTCCAATAGGACTTAGTATTGGTGTCGCAAAAGGAATACTACGAGTAATATATCTGAATAAAACTGTTAATGAAGATATAGTACCAGTAGACATTGTTATTAAAGCTATAATAACTTTAACTTGGAAGGTAGGATTAACCACGTTTGATCACAGGTATGTATAATATGCTTGCATTTTTAACTATATTAGATTATATTTAGGTCAATCAGAAAGTTCCTTCCGTTTTTTTGCAAAAAGTATATATTTATTTAATAAACAAAATGAAAAAGTACATCAATCAAGATATTGTCCATTGTTAGCGATGACTTTTTCCCATCTTTCGGACAGCAAGCGAATTCCGCGGCAAAAGAATGATTCATCTTTGGAGGCTATCCAGTCAGAGACCCATTTTTCGACGTCTTTATAAAAATTGAAACGTTCCTCAGCAAGTACGTGTGCCATCGACCGAAACAAGTGGTAATCGGAAGGGGCACAGTCTGGTGAATAAGTCGCATGGGGTAGCACTTCCCAGTGAAGGGCTTCTAACATTTCCTTGATAAGTTTTGTGACGTGAGGCCGAGCGTTATCATTAAGCAAAATCACTTTATGCTTCCTCGTTTCATATTCTGATCGTTTTTCGTGCAATGCTCGGCTCAAATGGATAATTTGTTCTCGGTAGAGATCCCCTGTGACTGTTTGACCAGATTTCAGCAACTCATGGTACACTACACCCTTCTGATCCTACCATTGCCCTCCTTCCGTGGATATTCCACTTTGGCGTCGATGTTCAGGATTGGCCGAGATCGCAAATGATTTTTCGACGTTTGAAGTTGTCAAAATAAATCCATTTTTCATCCCCAGTGACGATACGATGCAAAAACCCCTTTCTTTGTTGCCTAGGCATGCAGAATTTCGCTGATATATATGGTTTTTCGTCTTTCAATGTCTCTTGGCTTCAGTTCATATGAGACCCATTTTCGTTCCTTGTAGACTTTTCGCAAGGTTTTCAAACGATCGGAAATAACAGATTGAGCATAATTTAATGTTTCTGCAAATTGTTTTTGCGTTTAACATGGATCTTCATCCATTAATGCCTGCAATTCTTCGTCTTCGAATGCTCTAGGCCGTCCAGAACGCTCTTTGTCCTCCACATCAAAATTACCACTTTTAAAGCGTCGAAACCATTCTCTGCATGTTTTATCGGAAGGAGCACTATCACCATAAATTTCTACAAGCATTCGATGAGCTTCAGCTGCAGTTTTCTTCCACATGAAGCAAAAGATTAACACTTCGCAAATGACGCTCATTTGGCTCAAATTTCGACATTTTCGATGCAGTAAGAAGCAATGTTATTGATGCGAACGTATACCTTTATATACAGAATTTTATTAACAGATGATAAAACTAAAAAATTAAGCTTGGTTTAGATATTAGAGTTATCGACAGTTCTAGCTACAGCTACTCGCCGCTAAACGGACGGAACTTTCCGATTGACTTAATTATAAATGCACTTGAAAACTTTTTTCTCTAGTTGGAAATACATGAATTCGTGTTTACAATATAGTCGACTGCATTAATTCTGTTACATTTCAAGGGACTATTATATGATTGCTATATGTTCTCTAGTTTCATCAAAGAGATTACATTTAAAAAATTTGAAAACCAATTCTGGAATAAAGAACGTCTGCAAAAAATGTCTGTTTCTGGGTCCTCGATTTTGGAATCGAATTTTATGTTAAATGATGTCATGATAAGACATTAATTATAAAGAAGTTTTCATTGAGCATACGATTGAATAAGTGTCAAAGGGGTTATTAACTACTAAGAAAATGTGAGGTAATTATGCAGTATAAGGGACCATCCCTCCAATGACCTTGACCTTGACATATGTTGTCAATGACCCCGAGTGACCTTGAACAAATTTTAGCCGTCGCTCGTTGTTTGTGAAAAATTATTAACAAAAAAAGTTCTTCAATAAAACCTAACTTTTGGACATGACTGCGCTCCGATGAGACAAATTCCCTACTTTAACAGCGCAAAATATTTTCTTATATAATTTTTGTATCTTTACAGCCAGAAAATTTATATTTTTAAAGCCGAGAATTTGTATTTTTTAAACAGAGAATTTGTATTTTAAAGGAAACAAATGTGGTTTTAAAGCAAAGAATTTGTGTTTGTTGTGTGTGTTGCAAAATGTTTATGTTTATTTGATTCATTCAGTATTTATATTATCTGATATTGGGTATTCCTTAGCCATTATGTCAAAGAAAGCGTCGATTATGTGTATCATATGCTTTTTTGAACATGAATTCTGCAAGGTAATGGACGAAATGGGATTATTTACGATTATACCGAGGTATAATTCCGCGAATATCTCTCCACAGACGTTCAATATTTTGAATATGAACGCCTGTATCTGAATCAACAAAATTTTGTGAATAATTAACTGGAAGTCAGATAGATCTCTATTAGATATCCTACTTCCAGGATTACACGAAATTTTATTTCCACATTGGAAATCAGATGGATTTCTATTAGATATCCATCCAACCTCTATGACCGCACGAGATATTATTTCCACGTTGGAAATCAGGTAGATCTCCATTGGACATCCATCCTATCTCCATTGGACATCCATCCTACCTCCATGATTCCACGAGATTTGATTTCCACGTTGGAAATTAGGTGAATCTCTATTAGACATCCATCCTACTTCTATGACTCCACGAGATTTTTTCCACGTTGGAAGTCAGATAGATCTCTATTAGACATCTATTCTACTTCCATGACTCCACGAGATTTTTTCCATGTTGGAAGTCAGATGGATCTCTATTAGATATTCATCCTACCTCCATGATTCCACGAAATTTTATATCCACGTTGGAAATCAGATGGATCTCTGTTAGATATCCATCCTACAACTATGGCCGCACGAGACTTTATTTCCACGTTGGAAATTATGTGGATCTCTGTTAGATATCCATCCTACCACTATGGCCGCACGAGACTTTATTTCCACGTTGGAAATTATGTGGATCTCTATTAGATATTCATCCTACTCCCATGAATTCACGAGATTTTTATTCCATGTTGGAAAGTGAAGTCATGGAAGTAGGATAAATATCTAATAGAGATCCACATAATTTTCAACGTGAAAATAAAGTCTCGTGCGGCCGTAGTGGTAGGATGGATATCTAACAGAGATCCACATAATTTCCAACGTGGAAATAAAGTCCCGTGCGGCCATAGTGGTAGGATGGATATCTAACAGAGATCCATCTGATTTCCAACATGGAAAAAATCTCGTGGAGTCACGAAAGTAGAATAGATGTCTAATAGAGATCTATCTGACTTCCAACGTGGAAAAAATCTCGTGGAGTCATAGAAGTAGGATGGATGTCTAATAGAGATTCACCTAATTTCCAACGTGGAAATCAAATCTCGTGGAATCATGGAGGTAGGATGGATGTCCAATGGAGATCTACCTGATTTCCAACGTGGAAATAATATCTCGTGCGGCCATAGAGGTTGGATGGATATCTAATAGAGATCCATCTGATTTCCAATGTGGAAATAAAATTTCGTGTAATCATGGAAATAGAATGGATATCTAATAGAGATCTATCTGACTTCCAATCATGGAAGTAGGATGGATGTTTAGTAGAGATCCACCTAATTTCCAACGTGGAAATAAAATCTTGTGGAACCATGGAGGTAGGACGGATGTGTAATAGAGATCTATCTGACTTCCAACATGGAAAAAGAATCTCGTGGAGTCATGGAAGTAGGATAGATGTTTAATAGAGATCCATCTGATTTCCAACATGGAAATTAAATCTCGTGGAATCATGGAGGTAGGATGGATGTCTAATAGAGATCTATCTCACTTCCAACATGGAAAAAAAATCTCGTGAAGTCATGGAAATAGGATAAATGTCTAATAGAGATCCATATGATTTCCAACGTGGAAATAAAATCTCGTGCGACCGTACAGGTAGGATGGATATCTAATAGAGATCCACCTGATTTCCAACGTGGAAATAAAATTTCATGTAATCATGGAGGTAGGATGGATATCTAATAGAGATCTATCTGACTTCTAACATGGAAAAAAATCTCGTGGAGTCATGGAAGTAGGATGGATGTCTAGTAGAGATCCACCTGATTTCCAACGTGGAAATAAAATCTTGTGGAACCATGGAGGTAGGACGGATGTTTAATAGAGATCTATCTGACTTCCAACATGGAAAAAGAATCTCGTGGAGTCATGGAAGTAGGATGGATGTTTAATAGAGATCCATCTGATTTCCAACATGGAAATTAAATCTCATGGAATCATGGAGGTAGGATGGATGTCTAATAGAGATCTATCTGACTTCCAACATGGAAAAAAAAATCTCGTGATGTCATGGAAGTAGGATAAATGTCTAATAGAGATCCACATGATTTCCAACGTGGAAATAAAATCTCGTGGAGAATTATGGAGGTAGGATGGATGTTCAATGGAGATCTATCTGATTTCGAACGTGGAAATAAAATTCTCGTGGAGACATGGAGATAAGATGGATGTCCAATGGAGATCTACCTAATTTCCAATGTGGAAATAAAATCTCGTGGAGCCATGGAGATCGGATGGTTGTTTAATAGAGACCTATCTTACTTCGATCATGGAAATGATTTCTCATGGAGTCGCGGAGGTAAGGTGGAGGTCCAATGGAGGTCTATCCGACTTCCACCATGAATATAGACGTCCCATGGAACTATGGGAGTTTGATGGACATCCACTGGACATCAATTTCTATGTGGTATGTGGAATTACTGATGATATTTAACGGGAATTAAAATAAGAAATAACAATGTGGAATTCACATTGATAAATTCACATCGATTTTCACTCTATGCAATCCACATGGAACGCCTCTCATAGAAACTATCTCATATTAGGCGCTTATCTCATAATAGGAGGGGGAGGGCTTTTCTCTAATTGTCATGTAAATTATTTATATTTTATTAAATCTATGAAATTATAACATTTTTATTATATTTATACACTTATGTATAAATATTATAAAATAATAAAAAAATAGTGTGCTGGTTATAAGTTATATGGACAACAAGTAACACATTTATCAAAAAAAATGGCGCAGCATGTAACGTAAGAGACTCATAATCTAGAGATTCCGAGTTCGAATCCTACTAAGATAAACGTGTTTTTCAAAACCCCAATTTAAATAGCTAATTTCAGACAAAATCGTTATAGACATC